CAGGCCCGACACCGTGAGTTCAAACCTGGTGAGAGGGTCCTGCTGTTACTTCCATCCTCCTCCAATAAGCTGCTGGCTAAGTGGCAGGGGCCCTACACTGTTGTCCGGAAAATGGGTCCTGTCACATATGAGATTCTACATCCTGAAAAGAAAAGGCAGAAACAGACTTATCATGTGAACTTACTGAAGCTGTGGAAAGATCGGACCACCCCAGTTTCCGTCCTAACTGCCCTAAGAGAGGACTTGGGAGAGGAGGAAGAAGAGGAGGTGGACACCACTCTAGAGACTCTGACCAGCACTGCTCCACCATCACTGGATCACCTGACACGTGAGCAAGTTGCAAGTGTTCTCAGAGTTTTCCAGGAGGTTCCTTCTCTGTTTGCACCCATACCTGGAAAAACCACCCTGGTGGAGTACGTGATTCGCCTGAAAGACTCTAAACCCATTCGACAGAGACCTTACAGGGTACCTCAGCAGCTGGTGGCCAAGTTGCACCAGGAGGTGCAGGAGATGCTGAAGTTGGGGGTGATTGAGCCGTCCAATTCAGAGTGGTGCAGTCCAGTGGTCATCGTTTTCAAGAAGGATGGCTCCTTGAGGATATGCATTGACTTTCGTAAATTGAATTCTGTCTCTGAATTTGATGCATATCCAATGCCCAGAATTGATGAGCTACTGGAACGAATTGGAGCAGCACGGTACATCACCACGCTGGATCTCTGCAAGGGATACTGGCAGGTCCCGCTGCAGGAGGCATCCCGTCCCTACACCGCCTTCCGGACCCCAGCAGGACTTTTCCAGTTCACTGTCATGCCATTTGGGCTGCATGGGGCTCCGGCAACATTCCAGCGTTTGATGGACAAGGTCCTAGTCGGCTGTGAAGAGTGCAGTGCAGCTTACCTGGATGATGTCGTGGTGTTCAGTTCCACGTGGGAGGAGCATCTGCAACACCTGTCCTTGGTCCTGGGGAAGATTGCGCAAGCTGGACTAACTCTGAACCCGTCCAAATGTGAGTGGGCCCGAGAAGAGACACGATACCTTGGGTACCAGATGGGACGGGGAGAAGTTCGACCCCAGGTGGACAAAGTGGAGGCCATCATGAACTGCCCACGTCCTCGCACAAAAAAAGAAGTCCGCTCATTCCTTGGCCTCACTGGGTGGTATCGGCGGTTTGTGCCCCAGTACGCCACAATTGCGGCTCCTCTCACAGCCCTCACCATGAAGAGGAATGTGAGCAGGCCTTCAGCACCCTTAAGACCATCCTGTGTTCTTCCCCAGTCTTGAAGAGCCCAGATTTCGATGAAAGGTTCCGGGTGCAAGTGGATGCGTCCGCAGTTGGCCTGGGAGCAGTGCTGGTCCAAGGAGAACCCGGAGAAGGAGCGCCCCTATTCTGTATCTCAGCCGGAAACTGCAGCCAAGGGAGACCAGATATTCAGCCATTGAGAAGGAAGGGCTTGCCATCAGATGGGCACTGGATCACCTTCGCTACTATCTCCTTGGCCGAGAGTTTGACTTGGAGACTGACCACAGGGCTCTCACTTGGATCGAGTCCATGAAGGACCATAACAGCCGACTTACCCGGTGGTACCTAGCACTCCAACCGTTCAAGTTTGTCATCCGGCACAGGGCAGGAAAGGCAAATATTGTTGCGGACTACCTTTCAAGGTTGCCCCACAGTGCCAACCTTCCAGAGGGGAGGGATGATGTGACGGAGCAGGCTCGTCCCTAAGAACGCCGTCCTGGGGGAGAGCACGTGAAGATGCGCGCACCCGTTTCCGTAGTTTATTGCGCACCGCTCGCCGTACCAGTTCCTACCAAAAATCACTGTTTTACAATAAAATTCTCCCAACATCTCCTGCGTGTCTTTCCGCGACTAAGGGTGCACACTTGGAAGCGCTTATTCAATTAATCTAAAGCACGCCAATCCAGACATTCACTTACCCTCGCGCCGCCGCCTTCGCCCTCCTTCCGTGGTGTGTACTGGCAAACCCGGACACATCCGCGCTGGGAGTTTAAATCCGGTCGTTGCGTGGGGTTCCGGGAATCAGGTGTGCAACAACTAATTTGCATGGGCAATTAAATGTATTGTCTGTCTCTCAGACGTTGTATTTAAGACCTGTTCATTCTGGGCGCAAGCTATTACGGGTATATAACCATCGTGCTATAAAACATAGGCCGTTTGATGGTAGAAACGGCGAAATCATGATTATTGGGGGGAATTATGCAATGTGGGAGGGGCAAACCGGGGATATAAAGGTGCGCTCTCCAGCTCTGTGACCAGTTGCGACCAGGTTGCAGTGGAGGTAACTTGGGTGGAGTGAGCCAGAGCGAACGAGCGACCGAGAGCGTGAGAGAGAGAAACTTTGCCGGACTTAAAGGGGAAGTCCACCAAAAAACTTTTGTCATTTTTGTTTTTCACACCACCACTGTAAATATTTATCCACTCACGTTTGGCACCTTTTGCACTGTTGGAGAGCACAATAAATCACCGAAAAGCATTTCCTGCCTAAGCCTGAGTTTTTTTTGGAAGAACCCCACCACACACTGCTGCTTCCATTGACTGACACCGCCAACTTTAACATGACGTTTACATCGCTCTTATTGCGCGCGTTCTGTTTGGGTTTCCAGCAATGAGTGGAATTACCGAAATAAAAATATATATAAATGGGATGTAGCACAAAATGTGAAAACAGGAAAATACCGCCTTGTAATCCACTTATTTCAGCAAAGTAACTGTAATCCAATTACCACTCATTGAAGCAGTAACTGTAACGGAATACAGTTACTCATAATTTGTACTCTGATTACGTAACGGCGGTACATGTAATCCGTTACTCCCCAAAACTGCATAATAGTCATTTTATTAGAGCGGGGACAATAAGACCTGACAGTTTTTTCTTTATCATGGTGTGGCATCAGTGTGGGAGAAAGGACTAAATGGGTGATGGTAAAAGTTCTAATTTGTTAATTGAAATCTCTAAGAACTTTGAATTATTCACACAGATGGATAAACACAGTGGAGCGCTTCCTGTATTACCACATGACATCACAATGTGGAATGGAGAGTTTTCAGTTTGAGAGAAGAACTCAGCATAAATGTGCAGGTTTGTGTGTTAAACATGTGTGAATGAAACAAAAGCTCCAGGTCTGTTTGTGATGAGGAAACTACATTATAACAGATCAGAAAATAGCACAATATAGGCCCTTTAATGACTCTACCCATGAAGTAGCTTATTAAAATAGAATGTTGTGATCTCATCTAAAACTCAACAATATCCCAATCTTTACAACAATTTATCAATGGCGATGACTCAGCTTCATAGTCAAAAGAACTGGGTGGCTCTTGAGGAAAAATAACAAAGTGCAGCTGACATCTTTGAAATGTACTTGAGTTTGTGTAGCTAAAATTAGTCTTGCATAACAATAAGGTGAACCGGTAGAGATGCCTCGTCAGCATTTTGTTTGTACTGGAGAGCGTGAAGGAGAGCGGAGATGAGAATATAGGCCTAATTATGGGGCTTTAAGTTATGTACTGCAGATGTTTAAAACTTATAGGAAAGCTGAGTCGAGCTATTATCCACAATAATTTAACACATTTTAACCTATTTTCTCACTTCACCTCACGTTGTATCTTTAGGAAGCAATGGCAATTCACTCAAAATCTATAGTTTGTAATGGTGTTTCAGTCATGTTTGGCTTGTCCTCCAGTTACCATGGACACACTATACACAGATTAGCAAACACTGGCAAAAAGTAGTTTTAAGACTGAAAATGGATTTAGACCACACATTTTCAGGAGCCTGAGATCAATACGAGCGTTCATGGTCCTGTTTAGGTGTTTGATTTTCAGTGTTGGGAAGGTGACTTTTAAAATGTATTCCCTACAGATTACAGATTACATACCCCAGAATGTAGTTTGTAATGGAATCCATTAAGTTACTTAAAATGAGTAACGTAATCTGAATACTTTGGATTACTTGATTTGCTGTAGAGAAGCAAAGACGAGGAAATCGTAACATAAGAAGTTTTATCTGCTAAAAGAAAATGAAAAGCCCAGACTTTCCTGAACCAAGTTTAAAATATTATTGATAGAAGACGAGGAGACATGGTCCACGTAGCATGATTTATCCATCCATCCATTCCATCCATTTTCTTCTGCTTATCCGGGGCCGGGTCGCGGGGGCAGCAGTCTAAGCAGGGACTCCCAGACTTCCTTCATCATCAACCTTCAGCATGGTTTAGTCCTGTTAAATCCTAATTTAGACCTGCTTTAGTCCTGGTTTAGTCCTAGTTTAGTCCTGGTTTAGACCTGGGTTTAGACCTGGTTTTAGACCTGGTTTTAGACGTGGTTTTAGACATGGTTTAGACATGGTTTAGTCCTGGTTTAGACCTGGTTTAGACCTGGCTTAGTGTCCGGCAATGAGTGGAATTACTGAAAAAAAAAAAAAAAAAAAAAAAAAAGGGATATAGCCCCAAATGTGAAAACAGGAAAATACTGCAGTGGAATCCATTTATTTCAACAAAATAATCCAATTACCACTCACTGAAACAGTAACTGTAACTGAATACAGTTACTCATAATTTGTACTCTGATTATGTAACTCTGGTACATTTAATCTGTTACTCCCCAACACTGTTGATTTTCAATAAATTTGTGATTTTTAACTTCCCCCCCCCCAAATAATTCATTTCTTTCTGGTCAAATTGTGCTAAAATAAAGGTCAGGTTAAAGCCTCAGACAGATCATGCCTACAGTTAGCGGCACACTCAGGGCTCTTGTACATACATTTCTTTATTTCTTTATTAATTTAAGAGCATTATGTCCAGTGTTTGTATAATTAATGATAAGTCTGCATTACAGTTGTTATCAGTAAAATCTACATTTGTTTGAACATGTTTGCTTCTTATGTGGAAACACAGATAAGTCACATTTATGTATTTCAAACTCATGATGTTACCTACAGTTGATTTAAAGAGAAAGCAGGATGTGTGCATTCACTCACCCCATCCAATCAGAGTGAATCCCCACAGGTACTTCCGATCGGAGAAGAAGGTCATGAAAATGAGGCTGTGCAGGTACAGGCCCTCCACCAGGATCCAGTAGTAATTAGTGGCCAAGAAGTAAAGGAACAGGGTCACAGCAACCTTACAGCCAATCTATAAAACAGAACATGCATGTGTCAATATCTGTCCTCACAGAATAATACTCCTCCTAATTTCCCCATGGATACAATTACGTATATATGATTCCATGCTGAAAACTACATTTTCTTCTCTATCTGATACCAAGTAATTCTAAGGCCATGACATCTATCTGATACAGTTACCAGTGAGTTTTGAAACTGTGACTAAAATGATCTGTGGAAAATGCATTGTATTGTAAGATGTAAGTATTCATTTTTAGCTGTTTTCAAGAAAACTCTTGCACATTGCCTCACTCCTGTTTTTTCTTTTATTGATATGATGTTTCGGCCCCTCAGAACTTCCTCTTTTATTGATATGAGGGGCCGAAACGTTGTATCGGGTTTTCTTGAAAACAGCTAAGTGCCTCAATGCACCTGTCAGGTGTGCAGTGTCTACACAGAAACAAGTATTCTTTTTTTTTTTTTTTTTTGAGAATGTATATTTTTTTATATACCTCACTCAGCCAATCACAGCACAGATGTATTGTATCATTGGGCAAGACACTTCACCCCACCTCCTGTGTCTGCGTACACCGGTGTGTCTGTGAGTGAGTATGGGTTTCTTGATGTAAAGTGAAAGCACTTTTACCACCGCTGACCAGTTTCAAGCAGGCTCTGTATTTCCAACGTAGAAATTTCTTTAAACAAAATGTTCAAATTGGCAGCTGCATCATTATCACAGTTTATTTGGTGCCCCACTGATGGACAAGAACACAGCAACAAGCAACTCATTCTCAATTCTACCAGTGGGAAAACCAGAAGACAATCTGAGCAGCTCCACCAACAGCAATTATAATCAAATGTTAGTTACAAACAAGAACAAATTTTCTTTTTTTTTTTTTTTTGATAAACAGATGAGAAAATAGATGAGATAATGGATGGATAGATTATATAGATTATACAGATAAGACAGACAGACAGACAGATGTGCTGTGTCTGAATATCAGGTGCAGTGGAGCAGACTGAGGGTGTGGTGTGATGGTGTGACGTGTTCAGTGAATTGCCAGAATCATAAAAATAAATATCAAACAAGTCCACTGAAAAACAACATGTAACATGCTCAAGGCTTCTTTTATTTGGAAATATATTAGGATTATCATCCTAATGCTTAACATTCATAACGTGTGTGGGAGCTGCCCGGATGCCCTCCCGCAGCACAGCCCCTCGGAGCAGATGCACGTATCATATCTGTGCACAAAGCGGTGACATGAGAAACATTTATATGACAATAAACTTATTACATAATCCAAGAGACATTCAAAACTATAAAAGGCTGATGTGTGCGTATGCATGAGAGGGGCACATGTGTGCGAGTGTTCAGGACACAAACCCATTCAGTTCTGTCATGGCTCATGCAAAATTCTATATTCCTGGTGCCTCTGCTGGTGTGTTCTTGCATCGTGAGGCTCTCGAGCTGTTTTATTGTCACATGTGCTTTTCCCCACACTCTGCTTTGCTGATTGATAATGAGGCAAAGTTTACAGACATTACTCACACAGGCAGTGCTTTTAAATGCCACAGATTGGTTCAGAAGCCGTCACCATATATGCACTTGAACCGTCCCACTCCAGCCTCCAGCAGTGAATTACAGCCCCACCTGGACACGCCCCCTCCTTAACGCTAGTGCTAGTGCTTTGATTGGGGGCAAGATAGGGCCCTATATATATATATATATATATATATATATATATATATATATATATATATATATATATATATATATATATATATATATATATATATATATATATATATAATATACAATACATGATCATAGACATAACAAGACACTAAACACAACGTTCTGGATTCTGGTAGAGGCCCACTGTACCATCAGCTCTCACAGACAAAGCTCATCAATACCACCATCAGACAAAGTGCTTGTTATAAGAATGCACAGCACAGGCCGAAAGAAAAGAGTTTTTGAGGCGTTCAGGTGAACACCAGAGCTTCAACATTCTCTCACTGAAGGAGCTTTTCACTTCATTTAAAATGCTGTGGAGAAGATCATCTGACAGAAGAATAGTATATATATATATATGTATGTATGTATGTATGTATGTATGTGTATATATATATATATATATATATATATATACACACACACACACACACACACACACACACACACACACACACACACACACACACACACACACACACACACACACACACACACACACACACATATATATAGTTCCTATTTTGCTACCTTAGGACCTTTAAGTCTAACAAATTAACAAATTAACAAATGAGTATAATTATCATTGAGTGATATCCACATCTTTTCTCATATTTAACCTTCAACACCTAAAAATAAAAACTGCTAAAAACTCACCTTTTCCTCAAAGCTTTTAATTCTGTTTAATATTTTAACCCCTCTGCTCATTAGTCTAATCATTTATCCTTGTTCAGCTCTATTAAGCGTCTTTAAGTGAACGTGAAAAGCACTGTATAAAACCAATTTGTTATTATATAATTATATTAAGAGTCAATTTTGTTCTCAAAGTAACACTGTAAATATATTGCACACAGGAAGAGATTAAAGGTGGTGTTTCATCTTGCCTCTACAGGTGCTCACTGAGGACAAACTTTAGGTGCATAGAAATTCAAGGACAGCATCACATATAACAAAGATCAAATGATATATGTTCTGGACTGGAGATGAAAAGATGTGCTGTAGAAGTAATACGATTGCATAAAATGTACATTGTATCCTGGAACATTGTGTTGCTCTAAGTAAAGCTGTGCAGTGTGCATGCATTGTACATTTTCATAGAATATTTGATCTGCAGGAAAAGACTTCAGAAGTAAACTCGGTAAACTCGACATATAGCAGGCTCACCAAACTTTCAGAGTGGAACCTCCAAACTAATCTGCCACCAACCTGGGTTGCAGTGCAGTTAATTGTTTGTGTGTTTATTTTGTCTATTTGCATTTATTTGAACCCTTCCAAACCTAAGGGCTATTTTAGTACATCTTTCCTCATTTGGATTTTTTTTCTTAATTTTGCATTTAAAACTCCCCTTCTAACTCCTAATCAAGTGTTATACATATGCTGTAGTTGCATCATATGACTGTAATAAAAAAAAAAAAAAACTAACTAACTAAAAAAAAAAACTATAGGACCAGAAATACAAATTAAAATAAATAAATAAATAAATAAACTGAAAATAAAATTCACACTCTTTCATACAAAACACACAGCTAACATGTTTAAACACATTTTTGGAGAGAATTTTTTTTTTATTTAGAGCCTTAGCTACAAAAGTAAAAATATCCATATTGCCAAAAGTACAATGGCCCGTGACTTGACTGGTGCAGGTCATGGAAACAGCTGGTGTCAGGTCCAGGGCACACAGTCACATCACTTCCTGCATTTCCATGGTATTTATTACATTTGGATTTGTACATTTGGACTGAAATAAACCCATTTTAAATCTTTTTTTTTTTTTTTTTTTTTTAAATCATGTACCTTCATCAACAGTTCAAAGATGGAATAACACAAGATATGATGAAATACATCCATTTATTTACATGATTTGCAGGTCTTTGAAATTTGGGAATTAATTTTTGTTCCATGTTGCATACATGGTCTGTTTAAAATGTATGTAACTTTAGAATTCAATCATTCAATCATTGTGTGTCCTTAGGCAAGACACTTCACCCACATACTTCACTTCATACGCCTAGAATGAAAGTGGTGTGTGTGTGAGTGATGGTGGTGGTCAGAGGGACCGATGGCGCTGATTGGCATGGCAGCCACGCTTCTGTCAGTGTGCCCCAGGGCAGCTGTGGCTACAATAGTAGCTTAACATCACCAGGTATAGAGTGAATGAATAATGCTGAATAATGCTCTGTAAAGCGTCTTTGGAGACAGAAAATGTCTGTGAAAAGCACTATATAAATAAAGACTTACTTACTGACTTAGAACCAAAAATGGTACAGAAAAAAGGTAAACAGTTTCATAAACTAGAGTACATATGTATCTGTTGAATACATTTTTATATCAGATGCATTAACTTGAATTTTTGGCCTTGCTGTTTACTTCTGCTTGACCGGGCCTCAGTGTATATTATCAAGACCAAAAGACAATAGTGATAAAAAAAAAAAAAAAATAAAAAAAAATAATAATAAAATAATTACAAAGCTCTTCTGAGTGACCCTTGCCTCTGTGTTCCATGGTTCAAATCATCTTAATTTCACCCAAATCTCTTTCTGACAGTTCCCACTTCTGAACAGACGCCATCCTCTCTACGCGAGTCTCCCCTCTCGACCTTCTCGGTCTGGGCTCTTTTGGACCAATTACCACAAGTACTTTGAACCATCTCCAGTGTTGTCCATCACCCGTTAAATTACTATCTAGCAGAATAAAATTGGGCCTACCGGTTTGTGCACAAAAAAAGACTATTCGGCAACTTGACAAATTTGATGGCGTTGACTTGAAAATGGAAGTAACAGTGTTCGTCTATTCCCCCGAGCGGAGCATTTTATTTACTCCTGTTTTCTTTTTGATTGGTTCGGATTTAGCTCGGAGAGAAAGCAGATGTCTGGTGTGAGGAGGAGAGATGCCAACTCAAACTGGAACGGTCCAAAATAAAGTGCAACATTCAAAACATTTGCACTGGATACGACTCAATTCTGCTAATATTGCTACATGCTAAATCCAAACTAATACTGACCTTTGACCTCTCACTGTGGAAGATGTGGAAGATTTGTAACTTCAAATACAAATAGTATTAAAGGACACATATTATGCATTATTTGTTTTGTTATTGGCCCCTTATACATACCCAAGCAGAATTTGTCTTCCCCCAGTACTAGGATGACCGCATTTAAAAAATTAAAATAAAATTGTGAAAGGAGCACGTAACATTGTCCATTCTTGACTCATTTATGGGTCGGTACATTGTAATTTTTAAGCACAGTTTTCTATATGTTAGCATATTGCGTATTACAACATAGGGCTGGGCG